ACCCTGAGAGCATTTGCACCAAGACAAATTCCTTGTGTGTTCAGTCACACTTGGCCACTAAAGAATTCTATTCTAAATCGAGCTGTAGAAACCCTGAGGAGGTGCAAATCTTTCCTCCTATAGTAGGCCAAATGTCACTATCCAAGGTGAACCTATTGTACATCCTAATGTACAGAACAACAGAATTAACAGAGCTGGAAAAAACCTTGGAGGTCTTCTAGTCCAGCCCCCTGATCAAGCAGGAAATCCTAGACCATTTCAGACAAGTGGCCATCCAGTCTCTTCTTAAAAACCTCCAGTGATGAAGGACCCACAACTTCTGAAGAATCCGTCTATTCCACGGATTAATTGTTCTCACTGTCAGGAAATTTCTACTTCGTTCTCCATTGCTTCTCTCTCCTTGAGTTTCCATCCTTATGGCTTCTTGTCTGGCCTTCAGGTGCTTTGGAGAATAAGTTGTTCCCCTTCTTTTTTGTTTCAGCCCCTCAAATATTGGAACTGCTATCATCTCCATCAGAACAGAGCTGGGAGGGAGACCTTGAGGTCTTCTAGTCCTACCCCCGGCTCAAGGAGGAGATCCTATACAATCTCAGACAAATGATGGTCCAGTCTCTTCTTAAAAACTTCCAGTGATGAAGCACCCACAGCTTATTCTGTTAATTACAGATAACAGATAATCAGAGTGGGAAGGGACCTCATAGGTCATCTAGTCCAACCCCCCCGCCCAAGCAGGAGACCCTACACCATTTCTGATGGATGGCAGCCCAGTCTCTTCTTGAAAGTATCAAGTGAAGACTTGAGACATCCTCAGCGTGAGGAAGTGAGTCCTTCTCTTTGTTAGACTAGACATACCCAATTCCTGCACAACCGTTCTTCGTACGTTTTGGCAAGTTCACCTCTTGGTTTTTGTTTAATGCCTTCAAAAGTGAGGCTTTTCTTTTCTTGCATTAAGATTAGTACCAAGAAGAGCAATCGGTCATCCATCTTCAATCTGCCGTTTCCTCCCATCTGGGTTCTCTCTGGCTGAATCGCGTGGCTGCAAGGAAAGCAAATAAAAAGTGCACCAGCATGACTTTTTCTTCCTCTCTCTCTCTCTCTCTCTCTCTGAAATTGCTTTGTGTAAATGTCTGGAAAATGCTGATATTTATCTTTCTATAAATAGCAGCCCTCCTGCAGGCCGTATTTCATCTAGGCCGCCATTCCCTTCGCTTTAATTTTGCTCCGGATCACCATGGGAGAGTGGAATGCAAATTGAGCTGCTCCTGCTGAGAATTTACCCAGAAACCAAATCTTGCGAGAGGGGAGAGAGAGAGGGAGAGAGAAAGGAGAGAGGGAGAGGGAGGGAGGGATGGAAGGAGAAGGGAGAGGGAGGGAGGGAGGAGAGAGAGGGAGGGGGAGGGGGAGAGAACGAGATTGAGAGAGGCAGGGAGGGATGAAAGAGGGAGAGGGAAAGGGAGGGCAGGGAGAGAGGGAGAGGCAGGAGAGAGGGAGAGAGAAGGGAGAGAAAAAGAGGGAGGAATGGGGAGCGAGAGGCAGGGATGGATGGAAGAGGGAGAGGGGAGGGAGAGAGGGAGGAGAGAGAGAAAGAGGGAGGGATGGGGAGAGAAAGGGAGGGTGGGAAGGAGAGGGAGGGAGAGAGACCACGATCACTGTGTGAAATGAACTATTGGCTGAATCCAATTTCCTTGCCCCGGACTCCTGTTTTAGAGGATACAGGATATTCTGAAGTGCCTCCAGCGCAAATGAGCTGCAATTCAAGGATTCCTTTTGGCTGGCAATAAGTAGGGAGTCATTCAAAACCCCACGGGCAAGAAAGCAGCTCTTTTGCCTGGAATGGTCACCCCTGAACGTGCCTTTTTGGGGACCATCCCTGGGAGGCGAGGGGCAGAAAAGTCAGGAGGGCAGCGATGAGAACAGGACCAAAGTCCCACTTTGCAATGGGGTGGATTTCCAGCCATGCCGCTGGAGCCGCCATCTTGATCCTTTACAGATTCAACTGAAACCCGAACTTTTGTTGTTGTTGTTGTTGTTGGGTTTAATGGACAACCAGAAAACATCATCATGGAAGATTATTTTTATGCAGGATGATGAGTGCTGCAAGATTCTTCTGGGTGCAAAAATGGAGGTTGTTTTTTTAAAGACCCAGAGTAGAGGAAGGGTTGGTCAAAATGAGGGCATTTGCAGAGGTGGCGAAAGTAACTCGCTGGCTTGGAAAAAAGGTAAAATTGACCTTTCAAAGAAAGTGAAGTCAAACAAGCCACTAATTCTGAATACCGCCTGGTCATCCTCCTGCTCTTCTTCCTCTTCCTTAATTTACGTTGCATCATTAGTTATTCATTATTCATAATAGCTACAGCAACGTAAAGTAATGCCTTTTACACAGCACTAGGTGGGAGGCGTCTTTAACTAAGCAGCTTAATGCCTAACCATGGGAAATGGAAGGCAGGTGGTGGAAATTTGGAGGCATGCAAAATTCGGTTAAGGGAGGGAGGAGGCAGAGAAGGAAGGAAGGGGGAGGGAGAGAAGGAAGGAAGGAAGAGCGAGGGAAGGAGGGAGGGAGGAAGGATGGATGAAGGAGGGGGAAAGGAGGGAGAGAAGGAAGAAGGAGGGAGGAAGGGAGGAAGGAAGAAGGGAGGGAGGGAAGGAGGGAGGAAGGAAGGATGGATGAGGGAGGGGGAGAGAGAAGGAAGAATGAGGGAAGGAGGGAAGGAAGGGAGGAAGGAAGAATGAGCGAGGGAAGGAGGGAGGGGAAGGATGGATGAGGGAGGGGGAGGGAGAGAAGGAATGAGGGAGGGAAGGAAGGAAGAATGAGAGAAGGAGGGAGGGAGGATGGATGAGTGAGGGGAAGGAGGAAGAGAAGGAGGAACGAGGGGGGAAGGTAGGAAGGAAGGATGGATGAGGGAGGGAAGGAGGGAGGGAGGGAAGACGGAGTGATGGATGGATGAGTGGGGGGAGGGAGAAAAAGAAGAATGAGGCAGAGGGAGGGAGGGAAGGAAGGAAGGAAGGAGAGAGGAAGGAAGGAGTATTTGTTGTAAGGAAAAGGAAACTCAACATCTACATGAAGACAAGGCTTTCATTCATCTGTTTCAGAATTGCCAATTCGTGTATTCACTTTTCCGTTTCCAAAACTTTTTTTCTTGGAGTTTGCTGCTCTTGGTTCCAATTTGTCTAAAAGCGTTTTTCTCCCCCCCTATACAGAAGTCGTCTTCTTTCAAGGCGAGAGGGAAGCGCCAAGAGAAAGAGGAAACTGCGTTTTAGGCAGGGAGAGAGTCCAATGGTGAACACAGAACAGGTTGAGGAGACAGCGTTTAATTAATTTATTTATTTTAAATATATTTTTATTAAGTTTCCATTATTACAGCTCAAAACATCATGATTTCAACAGCATTTTTTGACATCTATACAGGTTTTTATCTTATATGACTCAACACATTATATTTACATTTATCCAACATTGATACATAACTTTACCCATCATGATTATTTGTATATTCTTATATATTCTATATATTTATTCGTTTTCTTGAGGTCTCTTATGACAGCATTTAAGTCACCTGCAAACAACAGGAGAAGCAGCGATGCAACCTTGGTTAGAATGGGATGCATGCAGTTTATAATCCTCAATTTATAACCACCAATCTGGAGGCCAAGGGTGGCTGTCAGCTGAGGCTTATAATCTGATGGCATCCCATTCAGAAGGTAACATGCCACTCAAAACACGTCGTTGTGGAAACCTGGTCCGAACGGCTGAAAGGGGAGGCGCCCCATTTTCTAAGCCGAATGCCACTTCAGAGAGTGAGGTGATGCAACCCTATTGGCGGAGAAGGCTCCCTTGACCTATATGCCCTAACCCAGGGGCCTTCCAACTTGACAGCTTTAAGACTCGTGGACTTCAACTCCCAGAATTCCTCCTCCTCCAGTCAGGTTGGCTCAGGAATTCTGGGAGTTGAAGTCCACAAGTCTTAAACTTGCCAAGTTTGAAGGCCCTTGCCCTAACAAAAGAAAATTTTAAAAAAGAAAGAAAGATACGAATAGCAAGAGGACATTGAGAGCACACTTTTCTGGACAATGATCTCAGCCCAAACCCAAATGCCCTCTGACCCTTTTGCTCTAACAGATTTTAGCAGATTAGCAGAGTTGGAAGGGACCTTGTAGGTCATCTAGTCCAAACCCCCTGCCCAAGCAGGAAAGAGAGAGAGAGAGAGAAGAGAGGCAGAGCCAGATAGAGAGAGAGAGAGTCAGAATCAGAGGCAGAGAGAGAGGCAGAACTAGAAAGAGAGAGAGAGAGAGAAAAGAGAGAGGCAGAGCCAGAGAGTCAGAGAAAGAGAGAGAGAAAGAGAGAGTCAAAGCTTGAGAGAGAGAGTCAGAGAGAGAGAGGCAGAGAGAGAGTCAAAGCCAGAGAGAGAGAGTCAGAATCAGAGCCAGA